CCCCCCCCCCCCCCTTTACCCTCTCCCTCCTACTTCGCCCTGACACCAAAACTTTGGCCCGCATTGCTGTGCACTTTAAAGAAATGCAAACACTACTTTTTGTCCCTTGATACGGGGGGAGGTGAAACATACAGAGTGTCACTTCTTGAACTAAGTCGGGCCTTCCAAGCTCTTCTCTACATGCTAGTGGCTAAACTGACTGTTATGCGTGCAGTTTCTGGGATGGGATTCATTTCAGCAACGGTACCTTGACGCTTATTCTCATTTCACGGAAACTTTCTTTAGTGTGAAATTCAGCCCTGCAGGAATGGGCAGGAGGATAAACATTTTAAAGTGAGACAAAGAGTCGAGCAGAGGAACCAGTCTAGTCTGCAACTTCTTAAGAATACTTCTTAGCCAGGGTGCTTTTTATGAGACTAGTCCCCAGTGGCTTGTCTAGTTAAAGGCTATCTTTTACTCTCAACTCAAAGTCAAAGACACTATGGGGCCGGGGAGACTGTGCAGTTTGCTGTCTGGGGTGACTGGGTTCAGTGGTAGGGGGTGCATCGTGTGGAATGTGGCTGTAAGAAAAAGCCAGGAGGAATCATTGTAGAAATGGGAAGAAATGAGATGCCAGAACTGGGAGTACAGCACACAAGTAGATCATTTTTTTTTTCTTTTATAAAACAAGCCTCTGTGCATGCCTTGAACCTCCTGTTCTAGGATCTGTTATCCTCCTGTGACAATGCTTACTTTACTGTTAGTTCCAGTGTGGACGCTGCATGAAAGACAATACTCTTTGATTGTCAGGCAAAAGGTCGATGGCTGACAATGTATATAGCTTTTGGCTTTTTGACTTGTTCGTTTTTTTTTCTATTCCGAACATAACCAATGTTGCATTATATCAAAATCCTACTAGACTTTGATAATAACCCTCTGCACCTTTAAATAGACGTCTTGTCAAGTACTGTAGGTGTTGTAACACTCATGAGTCACTTTGACCTGGAAATGTCACTTGGCTCGTTAGTTGGGATGGAAATGTGACCTTAGGCCATACAACCTCAGACAATCATCTGCCGTAAAGCCGCTCTCCAGTTTAGATATTACAACACTCAGTGCTAAAGAAGAGAAATGGTATACCAGTGAATCAGGTTCTTACTGCTCTGGAGGCAGGAATCAGTAGTAGTAGTAGTGGCTGATGTTATGACAGAGCTCTTGCTAGTAGCTATAGATTTTGAAAAAAAATCGTAATTTTTGCATAGATGTATTGCGCGTTTGTTTTTGATATTCAAAAATCTAACCTTGCTTATTTTTATTCTGAAATGTAATTTATTTGGTTCCACCAACTTGATGTTTTAGACAACCAAGTAGATTGCTTCTATGCCACAAAATAATGTAAGCTCAATAGCCCACTTACTAGCTTTCCACCGCATCTCCCAGCCTTCTTCAGCACACATGGTGACAGATCATGTCTCTTGATCATGTTTGTACCAAACCCAAAACTTCTGCATGCAATATCTTTGTTATTGTTGAATGACAAATCTGACACATCTTTAACACAGAAGAACATTTATTCAGGTCTTAATACATTAATATTGAACAAGTTACATATTTGTATTGATTGCAAATCACACAGCAAAATTCCAATTTATTCCTGTATATAAATTCAATGTAACAGATTTTTTATTTTAAAATATGTAATGGAAACTCTTCCTCTTGTTGCGAGGAGCACTTTTTCATAATATGTAAGTAAAAGTGCAATATCTTTCTACTCATAAAATTACAAAAATTGGTCCAGAAACTGCATTCTGAGCAGGACTTCTCCGACAGACTAAATATTGTGTTTTCCATTTTAAAAATTCAATATATCTTAACATTGTTTTTTCAGTAATTTGCTTTTCGATGCTCTTTTCTAAAAACTGTAGCTAAATACAAGAAATACAACATTGTCAGTTAACAAAAGCTTAGCATATTAAATCACTGCATCATACTATTTTCTAAATAAACTTCATTTTTATCCCATATAACTATCTGGAACATAGAGTTTTGACAACAACAACACCATAATATCTCACAGCGCTATGTTACAATAAAATATCTCTGTCATAAGTTCAAAGAAAAGGAAAATAGCAACATAAAATTAAGGAATACAATGCATAGATTCAATCATTTAAAAATGTAGAGATATAATTTACTTAGTATAGCTCTTTTACTTTTAGAGTGAATCCTGTGTGACACTGACGACATGGATTCATTACAGTTTATCCTGACTTAAGTGACCGGCACAAATATATCTCATTCTGAACATATCACATGATAAAAATGCTAAATATATCACTTTGACTTCAAAAGGCAAATTTGGCTATAGTACACGATGGTATATTTGGGTAAGAAAAGGCAACACCTGGCACCAAAGCCAAACAGCAGCTTCTTTAATAACGGCCTTTTGAAATGTTAAGAATTTCATTTAACTCTTCTTAAACCTGCCCCGCTCCCTGGATTTATTAAAAAAAACGACATCTGCTGTGTCAGATCATGTGCCATTAGTGATCTGGAGAATGCAAGTTTTCATTTCCACCAAACACCCAAACTAATTAAAAAGCATTCCCCCCTGGTTGAAGGGGAACTCATTAGTAGTAGGACAACCTGCATACTCAGAGCCCTTTACAACACATGATCAGACTCACGCTGATATATGTGGTTTCTGGATAAATAATGCAAAAAACATTAAGGTAGAATAGGCAGTTTACGTTCGCTATCTCTAAACCACCCGGTCTTTCAGCCACCGAACCAGTCGACTTCATCAGAAGCAGTCGTGTTCACAGACACCATCTTCACAAAGGTAACCACAAACCTGTACACTATTTGTTGACTCGGCGTAATAATTCACTGGCAGGCCGACAAGCTCATTGTTAGTACAGCGATAAGTGGGAAAAGCGAGACTGCAAATGCAAATATACATGCTAGATAAAATACTTAACACTTAGTGGCGCTTTTCAGGGGCAAATTAAAATAGACTTGTTATTAAGAAGATGATCGGAGCTATAAATTCACATGTTAAACCTTATGTTATCGAATATTTGACTTGGAGATGGGTAGAGGTAGAAGGGGCAGAGCGAATGTGGAGTCTCATTAAAAGCAGAATAAAGCCGATGCTATCGATAGCGTCAGACGGCTCTTTTTTGACAAAAAGTTGTCGTACTGTACTAAGTTTAATCGGTCACACTAACCGTTAGAGACAAAGGTTAGTTCTGAAACTATACAGGGGGACAGGCTGCTTAAATACTCACAGTGTCTTTAATGACAATCCCAGGCGACTCGGCCTTGATGTGAAAACAACAGCAGCACAGAACATCTTTTATCCACCAACCTGCCTTGACCTCTGAACATTCACAATGCTGCGAAGCTTTCAGGAAACCCTAACAACAATCTACAGTCACTCGTTTCTTCTTGACTTCTACAAAAAAAAAGTGAAAGCAGGGAACTGGAAATAAAGAATTCACTGTACTTTTTCTTCAAGACTGTTGGATTTGAGTATCTTCTGGACCGTAGACATTTACAACATAAAACCCTTCAAGCCTGCAGTCGATATCTACTTTGTTAGGCACAATAAATAGGCCCCTGTGGTGTTAAGGTTCAGAGTGACGAATGACTCAGAACAATTCTGATGTCTTGAGTGCAGGTTATGCACTAGAATAAATCTATATTAACCACAAATAATTTAGGTCTCAAATATATACTAAATCCAGTAAACATCTACTACATCATTTTAATATACATTCTTAATGTATGTACAAGAAATCAGAAAGTGTGTTACCATTTTACAGCCCGATTGAGAAGAATTCCTAAAGCACAGATCTGTCCACTCGACGTGTGTTTCAAAAGATTCTGATCCAGTTTTCAACGCGGGCTCACTTCTGCTGCCTCGACTTTTGCTTCCGCTCTGTAAACACTATTTACACTCTTAGAAAATACACTAAGAGGCCTGATTTGACAAACTGTATGATGACGCTATGTACATTCAGGCAATAACAAAAATGAGTTATTATGTAACATGATCCGAGGATCCCTTGAGAAGTCTCTCACTTTACATCGTGTCAGTCCACAAACCCATGAGCGGATTACCTTCATAATTCTTCCGTAGTGGTAATCAATTATCACCACACTGTACATACAAAAAGCTTGATTGTGGACACACAGTAAACATCACGGTTTGAGTTGGTGCACCTCTACAGATCGTGCCGCTGCTGCTGATGATGAGATGTAGTTGGCAGTGTCACTTGCAAAAAAAGAAATCGCTGCAACCTTGATGAGTAAACCAGAGAGGTGTGTTTCAGTTTGGCTCTTATGTTAAGGCAAATTGTTTGGCACTTAGTTTGTACAAATTATTTGATATTTCAAAGATAATTATGATATCATCTCCAGCAGTTCAAGGGCTCTAATGGAGATGCGTCCTCAGCTGATCACGACCAGTCTCAGTCTGCTGAAGTGATAAGTATTTTTGAAACAGAAATGTTGATGGATGGGACATGGACTGCAGGTGAAGTTGGGTTGAGGATTAAACATCCTAAGATACACTTTTTGTGTGTGTCTCAAATGAGTTCCGATTGTTGCCAAACAGCAAAAGCACTACAGTTTCTACCCTGACACCCAGCTGTGCGTAGTGGTCTTCACTCCGTGGGAAAAACCTTGTTGGGTCACCATTGGCTCAAAGTTGAAGTCCAGGGAGTCCCCGTCCATCAGGGTGTCGTGAAGGACCGTCTCCATGTCAAACTCAAACTTCTCGATGGACATGTCGTCCAGGTCGCTGGGCAGCTTCTCCGGGTGCAAGGGCTGTGGCAGGCCTGGTCGGCCGTATCCGTTGGTGTTGAGAGGGCAGAAGCCACCGGGCATGCCTCCTGCACTGAGGTGGCTGGAGAGGCCATAAGGCATCTGCATATGGCTTTTGGCTGCGGGCAAACGCGTGGGACCCCCACTGTGGCTCAGGGACATGAGCAAGCGGGCATTCATGGCCGGTGACGTGACCGGGGCTTGGCTGTGCACACTGCGGGGGTGAGTGTGAGCAAGACCATGCGGGTGACCGTTCCCTCCACCCATGAGTTTGGCTGCATGCTGGCTGCTGCTGTACGGCGGCAGCATGCAGCCTCCACTGGACTGAGACACCACGGTGTCCACAGACGGCATGAGCTCACTGTGCTGGTCTGTATCTGACGTCAGCAGCTCCTTCAGAAGACCCGCAGGGCAGCTGTACTGGCCCATACTGGGCCCGAAGCTGGGCTTGCTCTCTGGCAGTGTCTGCAGCGGCATGGACGACAGGGTGTTCATCCCCGCTTGGCCGTACACACACTTGCGGTACTCCTGCTGAGGCTGCGCGGACATGCTGGGGGAGCTGTAAGCGGGGTACCCAGGGCTCGGCTGCATCATCGGAGAGGGAGAGGACTGGGAGGAGCCAGGGGTCGTCGCCCCTCCTCCAACCTGAGAGTTGTTGGGCGAGAGCAAGTTCAGGTTGTCCAAAAGGTTCTCCATGACATTCTCAGAGCCGTGTCGCAGAGAGCCTGTCATCTCTGTGAGACTGGGCAGGGTGGCTGTCATCTTGGCCCCGGGGGCTCCCGGGTAGCCCATATGCACGTCTGCCTCTCCGAGGTCGTCCTCGGGCATGAAGGGCGAGAGACGACCGCTCAGAGTGCTGGCGTTGGAGCTGGTCCGAGGCCTGAAGCTGTTCCATGCATCAAAGTCGTCGTTGCTGTGGGAGTTGGGGCTGCCAGGCCACTTGGAGTAGGAGCCTGGGCTGTCTGCGCCTCCGTCAGGGCCGCCTTGCAGAGACAGCTGTGGGGAGACAAAGAGACTCTCAGTGTACTGTATGTGCCAGAGACAGTCAGTGCAACATATGTTTTGGGCAGATACCATTGGCAATACGACAAAGGGATGTTATTAAAGAAAAGATTATATAGTATAGTATATAGTAGTATAAGTATTCTCGCTAAATACCGTATCAATAAAGTCATAATATCTTGAGAATAGCTTTTCAAGGGATGTTTACAGACATGACGACTTTAAGAAACAATAAGAAACGAGGTTAGAAGTGTGAATATGACCTAATTTATTCTTAGTTAACTTTCCTTTAACTCTACTAAGATAATAAATCCAGAGCATTGTATTTAACTGTAATGTAGCCATTAAGGACCAAGGACGGACCAATTTAGGGTTAGAATATTACCAAAATCTCTTTGGTCTTTGTCATGACACATTATGATGAAAATCTTGGCACGGTTCAAACATTTGAAGTCAGCGATGTTGGGCCACCAAAGCTTTAGCTGGATTATTTATTTATCTACCTTTTTCTTAGCTGCTCTTCCTCTGCTCTTGGTGAACTTGCTGTTGTTGTCCATGGAGGCTGCCCTGCGTCGCGGGGACTTGCCGCTCTTGCCGCCCTCCGGGTTCAGCATCCACCACGAGCTCTTCCCCGTGCCCTCATTCTGCACGCGAATAAAGCGGCTGTGCAGCGACAGGTTGTGTCGAATGGAGTTCTGGGTGGAGAGGGAGAAAGAGGGAGGCTGGGTGAGAGGCAGACAAACCAGACAGTAGACAACAGATTTGAGTTTGCCCTTTTCTCAGAACACCTCAGATCCGTTTTAGCATACAAGTGCAAATCCATCCGTACAGGTGGTTCTTTTTTAAAAACACACCTGGCTTGACAGCTGACTTACAGAGGAGAAAGTGGAGCTTTTTAAGGTCACTCAACAATCTAATGCCGTGTGCAATTCAAAGACACGCATGTGCACAAACACACACTCACACACACACACACATACACAATAGATGTCAATATGTTTTACTCCATGAGCAATACATCCTGACCAGAACAAGGATTGATCTACACGAGGGCCTTTATTTCCTTCACAAAAACCGAGGGGTTCATTTTAAAACACCGTTATAACAACTCACATTCCACCTGACTATGTGTTTTGTCTGAACCAGCACAGAATGAAATGGAGTAAAACCGACACATTAATACCGCGCTCCAACGTTGCTTAGTGACACCCCCAGTGGAAAAACAAATTTTTATGCAGGAAGCCAGTGAAGCAGTATTAAAACACCGCAAACAAGAGCGAGAATATTGGGCAAACGTCTGCTAAGCAAACCACAGACACAGAGACACCATTTCTCTCCTACTTTACTGTACTGGAACACTTCATTTGTTTTTTTTTCCTGTTATGATTTTCAAACGCTTAATCTGTCCAAACTGTTATTGAAGTGACCATTTAACCCTCAGAGGGTAATTTACACTCTTTGGCTCTGGATCGTTGTGCGTCCGGGCCACAATATGAAGTAATGAGCCTTGGCCAGACGTTACTGTGCATGTGTAAAGCTTGTTGTTTTGGAAGGAAGGCTGGAACTCCCGACGCACACACACTCATGCAGAGCTTAGCGTGCATAGTGGTCGAAGTCACCAAGCCTGTTCCTGCTGTGAGTCACTGCTTCACATCTGGTTCACAGTCTGCCCCTCTGCTCTGCCTTCACCTCTGCTTCGCCTCATCTCTACCATCTCAACAATCTCGTCCCACTCCATTGTGGGACGAGATTTTTTTCATTGTTAATTCATTTCTTGACTAAGTATTAAAAGTAGTAAAAAATCTGAAATTCGTGAACAATGCTAGTCACAGTTTTTCATTGCCTCAAAAGATGTCTTGAAGTTGCATGTTTTGTCCAACGTTGTCCAAAAACAAAGCTATTCATTTTATAATGATATAAAACTGAGACACGGAGCAAATGACTTCAAAGATGAAAGAGGTGCTCTGCAGCCATTTAGTGGTACACTTCCATAAAGTTGGTAGACTTGCAAGAGACACATTTCAAAAGATGAATTGAAAGAGAAGAGGCCGTGGGTCAAGCTGGTAAAATGCTGCATTTCCCATAATTCAATTTGATGCCATCTTTTTTTAGTATTTTCTAAAATTTTAGATTCACCAAAGACATTATACAACTGTTTGAGTCGGACTCCTCGTGATATGTAAACTGACCTCCACGAGTGAAATAGCCTCCCTTTAAACAATGAACAGAATTGTCATTTTCAGACAATTGACGGATCAATTATTTGACTAATCTGCTGTATCAAATACTATTATCTTCCATTCCAGCCATAACATCCTCTTTCATTTTCATGTCTCTCATTTTTTTCTGTAAAATCTCCTACTTTTCCTTCTCTCCACCTCTTTTCGCTCCACTCTGGAGGACCTCAGGCGCTTGGGCACATGGGGGCCCGCATGAACACTGGTCCTTCACAAATGAATGAAATTCTGAATCAAATGACCCGGCTGCCTCAGCCAATGGTCTCGAGCTAGTTTGCATGATCGGAGCGGCGATACACATGCACAGTAACGTCTGGCCAAGGCCCTTCCCTGATTAGCCTAACAAATGCTTTTCTCCCCACTCCTCCGCGTGCACATCGCTGGCAAAATGTGAAGAGTAAAGCCTGGTCATGAGCCTCTCCTTTCCATGACCGCTAAGAGCGCTGGTAATTTCAGCTGTGCTGCAACAAGGAATGACTGCAATGTGAGTGCAGACGCCGGGACGTCCTGTTACAGCCCTATATCTTCCTGATGACAGGAAGGAGAAACTCATGGCTAAAGTCTCCACTTCGGAGGCTCTGGTTTTCTATTTTGGCTTACGTCAGAGTCAATACCCTGTGTGCTGTGATTCTGGAGAACATTGAAGAACCAGTTCAAAAGTCTTGATGTTAGAGAGGGAGTACAAGTGAGGGGTCATAAAAACTGCTCTGATGGGAAATACCAGAACTCGGCAGAACTTGGTGTGCCGTGTGGGGAGTGTGGCTGAGGGTGTCTGGTGGGGCCAATGGAAAAGCCTCGTCTACCAATGTGTGTGTGTGTGTGTGTGTGTGTGTGAGAGAGCTCATGGTTTTAGTGCACTGGCAGTACGACAAACAGCAGCGTAGTATGGTTTTGATTCTCTTACTCTCTTCACTGCAGCCAGTGTTGTTGTGGTTTGAAAACGCGATTTGGGATGAAGACACAGACATGAACACACAGTCATACTACACTTAATGTCCCGAACACACACACACACACACACACGGACATTTACAAATTAAAAGCCTGTTTCTTTCGGATTCAGGGACTGTATGTGTCACTGATTTATCTCTGCAGTACACAGGAATCTTAACATTCCAGCTGATCACTGTGTGCAAAGTTCAATCGTAATCAGAGCCAACTTGTTAGTATCTCTTAGGAAACAGTAAAGGCAGGATTCCCAGCCAGGCAGCCATCACAATCAACATTCCTCAGCAAGGTTACAAAACACCATTTCACAGAGCTGAACTCTGATTACCGTCGCACGAGGACGGACCTATCTTGTGTTGTATAAAAATATGACAATAACACCGTCCCATCTCAAAAATAGACGGTGGAGACAGTTTTGGAACAGACATAAAATATTGCATGGAGATGAAGTAGCCTGCAAACTAATATAAATACATAATGTTGCTTGCAATTTATTACATAGTAATGTCAATATAACCCTTTTTGTTGCACTGAGGAATTTAATCATTGGAAAACAGGTAGTAACCTGACGTTATCTCTGAAGGCTAGTTCATGTAGCCAGGGATAATAAAAAAAAGACTTTACTCTGTTCTGCCTGAGCCCACCGCACGGAGCACCACCTCTGTTCTCAGAGTCAACAGAGCGGCGCTGGCAAAACACGAGGAAGTGGCCACATGAAAGAGGACTGTGACAGGAAACAGAGCTGACTTCCTGCCTCACAGGAAACGTGGCGGTCACGAGGCGGAGAAAAAGGCATGGAATGTGAAAGCCACAGCGGCGTGAGCCGAGTGGACAGCACAAATTTAACTTTGGTCCCCCTCCTCTAACTCCCCACCCCCACAGAGTTTATGTTTAGCAACAGGCACTAATCCCTGATGTCACAATATATGAAAAGTAATGTTCACCTTGTCGTGTGACTGCTGAAACTGAATTACATGACTGGATACGTCATGACTCAACCAGTGGCTGCAGTGAGGACGTCTGGGTGGTGTGAGTGCGTGTGTGTGAGAGAATGTGGGGGTAGGCTATTTGAGAAATAGAGAAAGAGGGGTTGTGTGTGTGACAGAGTGAGCGTGCATCAGTAAAGAACACACTGTGCTGGTTTAAACTCCCTCACTGGCAGCACTACTGAAAGGCCACAGTGTTCAGTACATCACCCTCTCCACCTCTCCTTCTCTTTATTCCTCGTCTCCTTTCCTTCTGTTAATCTCCTCTTCTCTCCTTCTCGCCTGGTTTGCTCTCACTTCATTCCTACTCATTTTAATCTCCTCTCTTCTATTCTCTTCTCCTTCTTTGTCCTTTCCTCTCCTTTCATTATCTCGTTTCCTTCCTTCTCTTCTTCCCTCTTCACCTTCTGTCCTTGTCCTTCCAACTCCTACATTTCCTTATCTTGTTTCCTTCCTTGTCCTCTCCTCTCCTCATCCTGTTTCCTTTCTTCTCACCTCATCTCCTCTGTTTCCCTTCCCTTCACCACTCCTCCCCCCTGTCCTCTTCTACTTTCTCCAGCAGACAGACGCAAAGTACCTGCAGAAAAACCTGGAGGCAGTCCGAGGTGCTGCCGCTCTCAGAGCTGCTCAAATGTCAACTCGTCGGCTGAAAAAATCCCCAGATGAGCGAACACCACCTACTTGCAGGGCTGCTTTGAATCAAGTGAAGCCACAAGTGAAACCTCAGCTGCAAAGCCCATACAGCTATAGGTATAAAGCGTCTGCAGCAATGCGCCCTCCTCGCTGACTGAAAGCGAGCAGCAGATACGAGCTCACACGCCAACAGTTCTCTGAGAGGTTTCACTTACATGTACCAGAGATATAGAACCAGTGATAGTGAAAACAAAATGTGGTTTCCCTGCACTATTTCCACTGAACTCATCATAGAAAAGGTGTCCTCCTGAACAGGCCTCTTCACCTTTAGTTACCCACGTTTCAGACTGAACACCAGGTGTGTTCCTGCACTGTAACTAGCTATTTTCTGTGTAATGTCTGCGGGTGTGAAGAGGGTAACCTATAGAGTGTGTAGTGCACCACTTCTAACCACCAAAGTAAGTATCCCTAAAGCTGTAGCTTGGTCATGTCTGGAACCTTGTTCTGAGCCTGGCTGAGTTTGAGCAATGTGGCTGAGAGAGAAAACACGTAAACCCGTTATTAGCCTAACACCAGCTCAGCAGACTGCCCGCTTAACAGCAGCATAAGGGCTGAGCGCACACAGCTCCAGGTGAGCTGGTGACGGGGAACTACCACTCACGGGAATCACAAAGTCATCGAAAGACACACCCGCGGCAGGTTTTTTCCCCATCATGTCAGATATACTTAGTATTCTGTAGTGTCCATTACAACTGATCCCAATAGATTAGGAAATCAGGTGCGCTCGCTAAAGGTGGCGCATTGTGGTGAACTGGCGAGAGGCTGATCAGAGGGAAAACCCCTGCAGCCAGGGAAAGAGCACAACAAACATAAGCAAGAGGTAATAGTTAT